ATATATAACGAACCATAAAAAATATTAAATTTTAAAATCATAGCCATGGCACTATTTTTTATACTGTTCTAGAATATATTTGATGCAATTAAAGGCAACTAGAATAATACAGTCAACAATACATTTTTTTTTAAGGTATTTAAATTAATATTTACAGTCTCTACTTGAGATTTTTAATTTAGAAAAATAATAATTTTTGGTTACATTATAGTCTATAATACAACCGTATAACTGGACTAGTAATTATTCTAAATAGGCGTGATACAAATTTATATCGAATCATTTCTTATACATTGTATGTAAAGATAAACATAAAACAATATTAATCACGTGTGAGTATGTGAAGTAGTCATGTGCAGTATAGACAGTAGACACCTGAAATCACCAAGAAGAGTAAGTGCTTAACATCGTTTAAAACATTTTAGAGTATCATGAAATCAATTACGGCTATTCCTATTGACATTTCTTTTTGATCATCGATTGAGACATCGTCACATATTCAATAACGCAAGCGGCAAGCCTGAAAGCTATAAAAATAATACAATGAAACCCGGCTCCCCTCGACGTACTTGCAGATGGCTGTCCCATGACATTATAATAGTAATTAATCAGTTTTAGTGAAATAAAATATTTTGCACTTTTCTAAAAATTATACTTTTTGAACGTATTATTAATCGTAAAAAATTATGGAGAATTCTATTTACAAACCAAAATATTTTAAAAAGAACACTGGAATTATCTTATAATTTATATAACAAATTAATATTGTACTTGTCGATGTTGGAGATGTTGGTGATAAGTTCTTCACATCATAAAGAAAACTTTTAAGTTCACCACGTTTATATCAAAATAAATTGGTCAATAGGGAAAATTAGGGACGCAACTGTAAATAATTAATGTAAATAATAAAATTAGAAACAATAATTATAAAAATATTTAATTTGGGTAGTATCGGTTACATGACTAATTATTGGGAGTTTACCAATTGCGCTTAAAATGACCTTTTCATATACCAATTGCGCTCTAAACATTTTTGGGTCGATATACCAATTGCGCTCTAAAAATTGTAGGGTCGATAGACCAATTGCGCTTTATACATTTTAGGGTCAATAGACCAATTGCGCTCAAAACATTTTACACTACCTAAGGAAAAGTTATTGGTTAGTTATTAATTATAATCATATAATACATTATTATACTAACCGATTTTTTGCGAGTAAAATAAACAATTTTTTTCTTCACATCATCTCTAAACATTTCAGGGCCGATAGACCAATTGCGCACAATACATTACCTAAGGAAAACTTATTAGTTTGTTAATAACCGATTTTTTTTGTTTCGGTGAAACGAGCCTATACAGTTTAGTTAATGAAAACTAAAATAAAATAGGTAATATTAATAATAATAGAATAGGTGGTTAAATCATAAAGATATAATAATAATAATAATAATAAGATTTTGAGTTTAAGGTAATCATGATGTTTGTATTTTGCATGTTTTAATAATAATAATAATTTTTTAAATAATAATTTGAGCATGGCATTACAATTTAGAATAATATAATTTAAATACAAGCGCAATTGGTATATTGACCGTAAAATATAAAGAGCGCAATTGGTACACTGACCTAAAATATAAGAGGCGCAATTGGTACACTGACCCTAAAATATAAGAGGCGCAATTGGTACACTGACCCTAGTATAAAAATTTTGTTTTAGGCGCAATTGGTCCATGCCCTAATTATTACCTATCTCAATTTTAAATTTAAGGAAAAGATGTTTCATGTTTTAAATAAATATTTCCATTTCTTAATTTATTAGGTACGAGGTACCTACCTACCGATTATATAAAAGTACGAAATATTTATAAATCCAATAGAAAATATTTTCAATTGTAGGTAGCTATATGAATTTTATTTGAATACAAAACAATCATTACGTTTTTATGAAATAAATAAAATAAAACTACAACATTTCTCAGAATAATTTAAAAATGTGTTACGTCCATACACACATCATTTAATAGTATACTTCATAATTTTATGGTTTTATGTGAAGCAACTTTTTGTAATTTAACTATACGTTACAGAAAAAATCCAAAGCATAAATGCATATAAAAACACGATTTTAGCTTACAACAAAACATAATATGTCTATACGTCTACTAAATTAGTAACATACCGTTACAAAGAAATACAAACGTAAATAAAATGGACGAACTTTTTAATAACAATGTGTACGTCGTTTTTCCTATCCTAATCATACTTAACCGAAACCTACCGCCATTGCAAGTATACCGCTATTACCGCTAACCAACAATAATTACGTAGATCTACGTAGCACTACTACCACTTTATCAACAGCTACTACCACCACTTTGTTCACGATTACCACTACCTACTATATGTTTATATATACAGTGTGTCCCGTTTTAAATGTACCACTAAATATCTCAGCCCGATATCTTAGATTGAAATACGGTTTGCTGCAATAGCTTAGGGGTACTGAAGTACACATTTAAGGACAAATTTCAAATTTTTAACTCTTGTAGTATGCGCATGCGCAATACAAATTTTTTTTTTTAAATTGCAACACCTATTTTTGTCAGCGGATATGGATAGATTATTTTATTCTAAGTAATTTTGATCCATTGACCATAGTTCTAAACCAAAAATTGAATGAGTTACACCTTTTGGAAATTTAAAAAAAAAATTAAATTTGTTCGATTTTACCAAAAACATTACAAGCTTGAATTTGATACAAAAGTAAGTAATTTTTGAACTAAAATGAAATACATTTAAATAATTTAATACAAAATTACCAAAAAAAAAATGTATAGCCAAATTTAATTTTACTTCGTCAAAACTTATTTTTTCAACAGGATGGAGCACCCGCTCATAATGCCATTATTGTAAGACAACAGTTAAATGAAATGTTTGGAAATCGATGGATGGGAACTCACGGGCCAGTGGAAGGCCCCCACGGTCAGCTGATCTAACACCATTAGATTTTTTTTTATGGGGTCATTTAAAGACTGTTGTTTATGCAGATCCACCAGCAAACTTACAGGATTTAAAAAATAAAATAACGGTAGCGTGCAGACAATTAACAAAAGAACAAATTTTGGCAGCAACCTTTAGAGAAGTGAGTCGTCGATTGGAAATGTGTTTAGAAAAAAACGGAGGAAATTTTGAACATTTTATTAGATAAAAAAAATTTAACATAAGTCAAAACAATGTAACGGAGTATTTTTTATTTAATTTCCTACTTCACATTCTTTATTAAAATCTATGAAAAAATCACTCAATTCAAATTTAAAACAATAAATGTTTTTGGTAAAATCGAACAAATTTAATTTTTTTTAAATTTCCAAAAGGTGTAACTCATTCAATTTTTGGTTTAGAACTATGGTCAATGGATCAAAATTACTTAGAATAAAATAATCTATCCATATCCGCTGACAAAAATAGGTGTTGCAATTTAAAAAAAAAAATTTGTATTGCGCATGCGCATACTACAAGAGTTAAAAATTTGAAATTTGTCCTTAAATGTGTACTTCAGTACCCCTAAGCTATTGCAGCAAACCGTATTTCAATCTAAGATTATCGGGCTGAGATATTTAGTGGTACATTAAAAACGGGACACACTGTATACAACCACTATATAGTACTATTATATGTCTGTACATACTACTATATAGTTACTATACCATACCTAATACCAATACTTCTATATATAGTTACTACTACTACCTATTTAAAGCCATATATAGGTACTCTACTGGTTATTAATATTATTATTTTACAAAACATAGTAAGACGCGTGTTTCACGCTAAAATTTAGGGTAAAACCTCGTTGTCGTGCGAAAATGTCGAATTAGTATTTGTGCTTACACCCCCGCATGCTGCACCAACCATCGTCCAATTGTTTCCCGGGGACGTTGTACATGCAAATGATTTAGAGGTTTTAATATCGCCCATCACCCCTGCCCCACCCACCAATGCAGTGTACGTTATTATATATGCGAAACGGACCGGTGAGCATAAATCAAACCTATAGCACGTTCCCGATGTCGCTTCCGTCCGTCGTCCGCCCGAAACGGGTACGATTATTTCGCCTACAATTGTTCCCCGGTCAGGTTGGTCGCCAAACACCGGTGAACCACGATTGCGCCCAGCTTACCTTTTTCCATTCAAAAAACGCAATACGATTGCGCTCGACCAATTAGCACTATCGCGCCAGTCTATAACCTTTTTTACCTGCATAAAACGCAACACGATTGCGCTCTAATATATATATATATATATGTGTTTGTCCCGTATATGTATATGTTATATAACAATTTTCTAGTACACTATTTAAAAATACAGTCGGACTTGGTTTTCCTTGGACTTGATTTCCCCATATGTACAACCGAGTAATCGAGATAATGTTTTATTGTTAATATTTATCTTATTATCCATGGACTGCAGATATCAGTATGCGTCAATGATAGTGTCATGATCGGATTTTACATTTGAGCTGCAATTGACTGTTGGCTGTTGACTGTTAACTATTTTAAACCGTGTTTAACTCACTAGCTGTTCCGTAAAGTGTATCGTCGTGAAAATAATAATAGTGTAAAAAATGGATCTATGTATATCAAAAAAGTTCGAGACTGAGAAAGGTAAACCATCCATATTAGTAAATGGTCATAAATATAGGGAATATAAAATACTTAAAAGCGTAGGCAGTATTCGGTATCGGTGTACTAACAAAAATTGCCAATCGAGTATATATGTTGACAATAATGTTACGAAAGTTCTTAGCATGCTTAATGAACACACTCATGAAAATATTTCGGAAAATATCGTTAGTAGACAAATAATAAATTCACGAATTAAAAGAAAATGTGAAAACAACTTATTCACAAGGCCGAACAAAATAATTCGACAAGAACTACGTAGCACTGAAAATGATTTACAAACCGTCCATTCTGATATCAAATTATGGAGAAAAAGTATGTACGATTTCCGTAAAAAAAAATTACCAACAATTCCAAAATCACTGGAAGAATCAAAATTTCAATTGTTTAACTTGCGCTATACTCTTAAAACTAATTTAGATGAATATTTTTGCTACATGGAAGAAATTTCAAATATAGTTGTATTGACTTGCCCAACTAATCTGGATATATTAAGTTGTTCAAATCATATTTTTGCTGATGGCACATTTTTACATTCGCCAAAATACTATGATCAACTGAACACAATTCATACGCTACAAAACGGTTTTTATATTCCTTTAATATACTGTTTTTTGACGTCAAAATCAACTGAATATTTAATTATGTAGATATGTGGCGCACATAATTGTAATTTATACATTTGTATTATTTTTATTCTTATTATTATTATGATTAAAAAAATATTTAATTAGACATTTTTAATTAAAAAGAAATATCTATGCTAGAGTTTATTATAGTATTATTGTTAAAAAAAAAAAAAATTATTGTAACTCAAAATTTTTAACCAAGCCAACAATTTAATTTTGTTGTCAGTCCTAAGCCTGTAAAATTGGGAAGGAAAATTATTAAGAGCGCAATCGTGTTGCGTTTTATGCAGGTAAAAAAGGTTAAAGACGGGCGCAATATTGCTAATTGGTCGAGCGCAATCGTATTGCGTTTTTTGAATGGAAATAGGTAAGCCGGGCGCAATCGTGTTACACCCGCTTGTGTTCTCCACAACGCGTTGCGCGATGCGTTTTGAGTATACACTTTCTGCAGCAGACTATGTGTTTGGCGGGTGCAACGCGTTGTGGAGAACACAAGCACACATACATACACACACACACACGACAAAAAAAGACCGAATACAATCGATATTATAGACAAGCGGGTGGTGGTGGTAGTGGTGGTGGTGGTAATAATAGACATATAGGAGGGTGAAAATTATTATTGTTCAAAACACGAAAATCGGTATACATATTTAGGGTATCAACGCTGACACACGAGTATTATACCGCTCTCGTTTTGTTTAAAAAATATAATTTATTTGTGAAACTACGCAAACGCCTACCAAGCCCTACTACTATAGGTATGCGACCCAAATAAATACCAACCCACAAGAAATTGTAAGTACGATAATGTATTTAGAAATATATTATTATTACGCGAACGTTTAATGAACGTCGTGGATTAGAGTTAATTCGACAATCAGCGTCGTGAAATTGCCATTTAATTACTCGTCGAACGTAATACATTTACCGAGAGATTGACTTAATCGGAGAGCAAACATCACTATACATACCTACCAACGCGTAATTACATTACATATTAATATATTATTGTTGAATAATAATAATAAAAAAAAAAAAAGTTTCTATAGTCGACAACATGTCAATTATTGCAGACTTCCAACTGTGTTGAAAAAAAATGAAATAATTAATAGTATAACATGAAATTATCGCACAATGGTTATAGTAATAATAATAATAATAATAATAATAATACGAGGTAGCACGCTGCGCGAGCACCAGGAGCGCTGAGGGCGGATGCGGCTCTACGGAGCGCTCCGGGTGGCGCGGACGAACTCGAAAACGCACGGCGCTTAGTATAATAATAATAATATTATTATTATTATCATCATTCATCACATTCACATACATTGGCCGACAACAATCATAATAATATTATATAGTATAAGCTAGTGAAAATCCTGAGTAGACAGTCGTAAAAAAATTGGTAAGTCGTAAACGAGGCATTTGGAAGTCCGTCGGACGCACATCATCGTGCGTATATTATACAACAGTATGAGTCTTGTGGTGCGTACGTGAATAATGTTTTTATAATATTTATAAATTATAAATTATAATACACACATGCGGGCAAGGTATTTTATTTTTTCAACTCTTTTAATGCTCTCCGAGAGATGGACAATTAAAACAGAATTTTTTTTCCTCTCCAGAAACAGTTGCTTGCGTGCGAGCGTGCGCGCGCGCTCGACCACTCGGAATGCCGTTTCTATCCGCAGTGAGTGTATGTGTGTGTGTGTGCACGCCACACACGGTCGGTCGGTCGATGCACACACGCGCAACGGCGTATACCACCGTTGTATAGGTATACGGTCGTATCGGTCGTAAGTTACACCAGGTACGTTGTGTGTGTTTATGGTTCACGAAATATGTTAATAAGCGTTGTGATGTCTAATTGAAAAAGTGGATAATAATCGTTTTTTTTCGGTAATGTTTTCCCGAACCCGAACTGTGGTGGTGGTCTTGTCTTATCGATTAACCAGCGCGTCGACCCAAGTCTCTCGTACCGACGTATTTCCCTATACGTGCACACGATACGTTCAAAAGCACGTGTAGCGTGCGTGCTTATATATATTATGTCAATGTGGGGGTCATTAATCAACGCGGGGGCGTCGTCTGCGGGCGAAATTGTTATTTTGAATAATGAAGTCTCTCTCGCGCACGCCGCTCTGCAGCAACATGAGTATACAGAGAACTGAGCGACTCGTCTGCCAAGCGGGCAATATTAACCCTTCGAGCCGTCGCCGTCACCGCGAAATTGGCTGGGCGCGAAGCGCAACATGTGCTCCCGGGGGGGAGAGGGGGGGTTGATTGATGACCGCGACGCCGACGACGCCACGCTGTTGCGCCGCCGCCTAGTCCGTTTTTCGCAACACATCATCAAATACACCCTTTAACAACAGTCCGTCTGGTGCTTTTCCGACCTATCATCTCCACTGTTGACCCTTTTTTTCTAGTCCTTTACCTATGGTACGTAAATACCTACAGTCGTCATTCACCGCGGGCTGATGAATTTCCAACATAGCTTTCCCCCGTCAACCCAAATTATATGTTTCACGTATGTTATATGTTTTCGGTGTAACATGTAGTGTTATATTATATTTAAGTGCGTATTTGTTAGGTAGTCTACGTTTTCTGATATTTTCATTTATTGTAACACGACAACTAAACACGGGGTTTCTAAATATTCTAATCATGTAGCCGGGCAGATAATAGAAAATATTACTCATGTGAATAAAATAACAAGTTTAAAAATAATGACTCATTACTCCTTTATCTAAATTACGTATAAGACATCTTATATTAAATCATTACAAACTTTGCGTTTTTTTTTAAATACAAAGACGGTTTTTATTATCTTATAAGGACGTTTTTTTATGGATATTATTTTTCATAATATATATTATATTAACGTTGGTAAACTGTAGGCGTTTAAATACTATACATAATACATATTAATATTATATTATATAGGTACATATAATATTTTATAACATACAAATGAAAATGAGTACCACCAGAACCAGACATCAATGTCGCGGAGTATCGTAAATAATAAGACAAATTTCCCAGGTCGTGCTGGAAATTCACTACAAAATGCGTTAGATAAAATATCAAATTTGCATACCAAGAATGGTCAAAACTATAAACTATTTCTGGAGAACGTTTAACAACTGGTTTTAAATACGTCGTACATATACAGAGTGTACGTATCAGAGATAAAAAGAATAAACAATAAAAGACCGTTTTAAAAGCCCGCCCTTGCACTATTTTTTTTTCGTTTATGGTTTTCACATTATACATTTCGTTTCCTCTTTTTGCCACAGCCTACAACAATGGGTGTAACTTTAGACAACTGTTGAATCAATTTATTGCCCGAAATACGGCATATAATTCAAAGTAATACGTTCTTTGTTCCGAAATTTTCGTAAATATATATCAAAACAGATTTACGATCGGGCAACAACCGGTAGGGTTTAAGTGTCGTTGAATACCCCCACGCATCTGCTACAGACGGAGAAAAGGCCAAAATTGTGAGATGTACATACGCGATACCCGATTTTCGTTGAAACGCCAAAAAAAAAAACAATGTGTATATATATGTGTGTACCTATATTGTATATATATAATAATTAACCGATAAAATATCGAATCCCACACCCAGCTGGATGCCATAATATATATTTATTAATTCTTTAGGCTGTTGTTTTTTTCCCCATATTTTGTGGGACGTGTTTGTTTTTTCGTGTGTCCACGATAGTATCAGATTCGTTGGTCATCGCGCGCGCAGCCGCCGCGCTCCGTCGCCATCGCCGCATGTTCACGCCAACAACCGCGAGAAACCTGTTTCACGGGAGAGCCGGTATTGTGATTTATACAAGCACCGTCGTCTGAATAATGACCGGCGAGCCGGTTATGACAAGCTCCGGAAGAAAAAAACGAATACGAGTGTGGCTGTGTGTACATACTAATATTATATCATATATACACATTTATACACACACACACACACACATTCACTTACACAGATAATATATATAATATATGTGTGTGTATGTGTGTGTATAAAATATAAACTATTTTTTCAATATATTTTTCTTTTAATAGAGGAAGAAAAAAATTATACAGACGTAAGAATAAATGTGCTTTGGAGGAATTCAATGATAAAAAAAAATATATATATAATAGATTTTGCGCACACAGACCGGTTGCCCGCGGAGAAGAGTTCCGGATTAATGATGTGGTTCGTTCACACAACAGAAAAATAATAACAATTCCTTTCATAAAAAGAAAATATATTAGATCTTCGAAAATATATGCTACAATTATAGGTTAAAGAAATCCGATGATAATTTGACAATATGGTCGGTGTTTAGGGATGAAAATAAATTCTGTATATAGTTAAAATAAAATATGTTATTAAAACAAAATTCCTAGTCAATTGTAGTGGTATAAGGGTAATAGACTATAGTAGTATTAATAATTAATATTGTCTAAATAATAATCCCAGATCTCAAATGTTTAAATACCAACATCAAGGTCTAAATTTGAAAGACAGCAATATATCAATATATTATGTAATTTACTTCTCGTATGTAATATATTTTTAGACCCAGTAAAACAAATTGAAAGTTAATATCCGTAGGTCTATAACAAAAAAAAATATATCAAGTGAAAGGAACAACCATATGGGAAATTAAACCCTACGCTTATTCATGAAAAAAAAAAATTATTCAATCATTTTTGTAGTATACATAATTATTATCTTTTATGTACGCAATATTTATAAGGAGAAATGTAAAATGTTTTATAAGCATTGTATATTTTACAAAATGCGGTTGTTCACTAGAATGATAAACTAGGGCATATTTAATCTATATAGATGATCTGTGTATAATAATACTTTAGAAAAATAATTTATTGTTTGTTGCAATATTTTTTCAAATGAAAATAAATAAATGAATAAAGAAACATTTGTAAAAAACAAAAATTAAGAATGATAGTTCCATTTAGTTGCATCTCATAATTTATAAGAGTTACAT